AGACCCTGGATTAATTTACATAAGCAGCTAAAGCAGAGTGACCTGCAATTTCACCTTTATACTGTATGGTAATTCTGTCACTTTGTTATCAAAGTCTTGTGTTTTTCAGAGGTTTGAACTGGCAATAAAATGACAGTTGCTACCATGTTCAGATTATATTGGTGCCTAAAACTGAATCCAGATATCACAAATATAAGCAGCAGCCTGACTGGTAAAAGCATCTTCTGTCACATTTGGACATCCATGACAGTCAGGTCATGTGGAGAGCCAAACAAAAGGAGAGCATGAACCATGAGTGTTTGAGTCTCCTTCTCCTTCTTTTATGGCCCCACATGTGCCAAAGCACATAGTCAGGCGAGCGACACTGTTTTTCTCCTCCATGTATTGTTAAATGAAAGCTCTTGAAATAGAGCTCTCTAAAATACAAGGAATTATTTTGTAGAAATTAGAGACAGAAAAGAAAAGACCATGTTTCTGGGACATAGCTTCCTACTACCAGCAGCAAGTCTATAGAGAAGCTTGGACTTACATTCTTATAAGGAAGTTTAGAGAAGCAAAGTGTAAGTTGTTTAGGTTGAATTTACATTCATTATTGATGAAAGGAGTAGTGTAACCTCAAGCAGGGAAAGTGTTGAGACAGGAGGAGGGCCCATTAAACAGAAGTCCTTGGTGCTTTGAGATTCGTTGAAATTAATAGTTGAGAAAATTCTTTTCATAAATTGGTTGCAGTGGCAGCTGAAGTTCAATAAACTGGGATCTGAGTCAAGTTCATATACATTCCCACATTTGTTTATGCATTCATTACATTCCTCATCTCCTCTCTTCTGCTTTACTTCTCCCTGCCCTTTTACGACATCTCAGAATTTTTCTCATTGGTGTTAATGTCTAGAATGATTGTGTTCTTGAACTCCTTCCAAGTCCTTCTAGCCATTGTTTCAGTAATTCATTCAACAAGCATTTATTAAAGACCAGCTATAATATACTGTGCTGTGTACTAGTAATTGAAAGATAAATAGGATAACCTGATCTCGAAAGGGCTAAAAGAGTAAAGATATAAGCCAGCAAATAAACACATTAACAATGCAGTAAATGCCACCAAAAGGTAGATATGAGCCCCTCCCCATGCACAAATTCATTCACTGATATTAACACATAAAGCCCCTCTACCCCTGAAGATGAACTTCCCAAAATTCCCCTTTAAAACTTTTAAAGTGGAAACTCAGAAAAGATTTATTGCTAAAACCCTCTAGGTTTGTCATTTTAATTGAGTCCATTGAGCTGTATATATTCATGTGTAGCTCATGTGTGTGTATATTTAATGTGTGTTTTTATGTGGAGCAACTTTATATATAGCATTTGATTTAAGGATAAAATGATCTGAATAATTGGTGCTTTAAGTATTGAGATTAATTTAAAGCCCATAAGGTTACCTGTTCACAATGTCTTAAAACTATCATTCACCAACATATCCCAGTAGTACAACAAAGCTTGTATTACTTAAGAAAACCAGAATTAAGAATCAAGGTAAATTCATAAAGCCATAATAAATATTCGAAGAGTAAATATGGCCTTATTTCTCAAATCCTAGTCATTCCAAGTATTCCTTTAGGTAGTTAATGATATGAATGTAGATTGGTCTTGCTCTGCCTTGAACTCTTGGTTTGTAGAATAGTGCAGGCTCTGTCATCAGACTGCCTAGATTTGAAATTAGGTTTTTCCACTTACAAGCTGTGCGACTTCTCTATGACTCATTTTTCTTATCTATAAGATGGAGACAGTAATCATGGCTACCATTCTTTGAGAGTATAAAATTGTTACTCTCTTCATTCATTTCATTTAGTTATCTATTCAATATGTAGTTTCTGAAAGCTTAGTGTGTCCAAAGTATTCAGAAAAATGGAGAATGCCAAGACAATTCATCCACTGCTAATAAAGTTCAAGATGGACTTAAAATTTCAAACCCTGGTCTTGGAAGTCTGCCTGCTTTTCTAATTTATAAAAGCATAACAGTCTTAAATGCACACAGTTATGTAATCAGAGTTCATTGGTCTAATGGAAACCTGGAAATAGAGAGTCCTTGTAGATCCATTCACATTTCCCCAAACTACATATTTTTCAAGCCATTTTCACAAGTTTCTGAAGCTTCTTCCGCTTATTAAAAAAATAAAAAATATTCTCTATAGATTTTTAGTTTCCAGTGGATACTGAGGTTCACAGAAAAATCTTTCTTTTAATTTACTTTTGTATATTAATATCCAAATACAGAGAGCAGGAAGAAAAGAGGTAGGGATAATGAAGGTACACAATGCACAAACACACCAATATACCCATGCTTTCATGAAGCATGGTAATTCAATGAAAACTATATCTTACTTTCACCTCAAGGAATCTATGCCCTCCTTTTGAGGTGACAATTAAAATATCAAATATCTATACCTTTTTTCCTTAGCCATTCCCTGGAAGTCTTCATCTGAGGCAAATAGGAATTTTCAAAGAGGAAGGAAATCTTGAAAAGAGGGTCCTAAGCAGGCAAAGCTAATAAAGGAAAGGGAAAATGATGTTGGCTGACAGAGGTCTGGGGAACTAAAATCAAATCAGTCAAACTGGAAAAAAAAAAAGAAAAGAAATTAACCCATTGAAAAAAGGAGGATCTTGTAAGATATCCAGCACAATTGTTTAAATTGCTATGGCTTCATGAAGTGAATTGTCCACTGAAACATTGTTTCTGACCAATTCAACTCAGTCAAATTTTCTCTTCTCATTTCTGTTCTCATTTCATCTTTTGGTTTATGATATTTCATGGATTTCAGAACTGCTAATTATTTTTGTTCCAGATATATGTGATGTGCAGTTCTGAATTTCTTTGGAGTTCATTTGGAGATATGAAGCCGTTTATATGTTACTTAATTTACTATTTAGATAGGAAGATGAAACAGCCTTCTTCTCCTTTGTTCTTCTGCTAAAAAAATAATTTTTAACACTTGGAAATAATCCAACAAATTGTTGACATCTAAACTGGCTTGAAACCAAAAGGAGCTACTTGTTCGAAAAGGCTGAAAGGCAGACTCCCCATACCTTCTTTGATACAAATGGTTAAGACAAACCTACAAATTCACTCCTCCAAATCCACTCTGAGAAGCACCAAAACTGTTTTCAACATGTAAGCAGCTCCTATCTCAGATTTTCAAATGCCGAGAATCAGCCAAGGTAGCAATGCTGTGTTCCTTGCCATCACAACTGAGGCAGGAACACTGTTTCCCCATGACTTAGGCATTTAAGTGATTATTACCATCTGTTGCAGCTATTTGTTCCTGAACAGGTGAATGTAAAAATAACCAAGTGCTCCTAAAGCAATTCTTTTCACAAATTAAATACTTTTTCAGTGCATTAGTATATTTCCTGTCAGGACAGTATTTTTAACATCATGTCTAGATCATTCTGACACAGGTGGTCTAAGGACTACATTCTGAGATGCACTAGTGTGTAGACAAACTCACACTCAAACAACAAACTTACCAAGTAGTAATTTCTAGGAAATGACTCTGGTGCCAGCATAGCTACTTGAGAATATAGAATCCTAGGCTCTACCCCAGATTTCCTGGGGTCCAGATATCTTTCTGCATCTGTATACTTAAAAGTTCTCTGGGCGATCTGGGGTGTGGCTTAAGTGGTAGAGCACCTGCACAGCAATTAGGCCCTGTGTTCAAACCTCAGTACCACAAAAAACAAAAAACAACAAAAAAGTTCTCTGGGAGATCCTAATTCTCAGCCTGTGGTACTTAGCTTAACTCATCTGTAAGTAGGTTCTTGTTCTGCAATTTACAGGCTCTCTGATTTTATGTAATCTCTTGGGCTGTGAATTCATGCATGTTATTGAATTTTGGTGCTATTTGGTTACATTCCTATTAGATATTCACTATGGAATTTTTCCTTTATTATTATAAAGTATATACTCTTTCCTGAAAAAAAAAAAGCAATGCATATTAAGAGCATGGTTGTTACTCTCATTATATCATATGCCCAGCTCTAAGTAAGATGTACCAGAGGAATGCATGTGAATCGCAACTTTGAGAAGTATATATCTTAAGGCAGTGACAGGTTTGTACACACTCCCAAAATGCAATGTTCTAAGTAACAAAGTACATTGTAAAATTCAAAGATCTATAGGAACCTTAAAAAGTTACATAATGTTTGCTTTAAAATATTTAATGATAATAGTTGAGGTGAGCTACTTCTCACAAATTAGCCAGTGTTTTTTAGACTATAGCAAAATATTTAAATGACTGGCAACTTGTATTTATTATTTTATTATTTAATACAAGAGGCACAAAAAAAAGGGAACCCATGGAATAAGCTTTAAAAGGCCCAAAAGGCCCCTGAAATGTTATAGAAATAGTTGTTTTTATGAGTATGATTCTTTCTGGGAAGGAATCTAAGCTCTCATTTGACCTGAAAGGGTTTTGTGACACTCCAAAAGATTCCTAGTGAGCACATTTTATGCATATTGTTATTTATCCTGGAGAAATTTTTTCCTGCTTGCATTTTGAATAATTTCCTTGTTTTCTATTAACTGTCCTCTGAGACATTTTCCTTAAGCCTTACCATTCAAATATCTCAAGAAAAGAGATAACAGTAAGATTACATTTCAGGAAACTCTAAAGCAAAGTTTTGTGACTACCTTAGTCTATTCAAATTCTGCAGTCATAGCATGAAAGTTTATGTGCATGTTTGAAAAGTCCTAGAGCAGAGATCAGCTGATGATCGTTTTCTGAAGTTTTTCCTTTTCATGTTTTATCCATTGCTCAGTCATTTGAATTATTTTCTTAGTTCGGTGTTTCTTTTTATCTTGGATAGAAAAGCAAAAGGTCTTCCCTGGAAGGATATAATTCAAACTGCCAACCTGCACTTTGCCAACCTAGCATTTCTTTCATTTGTGCTTTAGTTATGATGTGGTAACAACTCTACTGATGTTACATATTATTATTTCTCTCTTCCTTTAGGTGTGTGTGCAACATTGACTGTTCTCAAACCAACTTCAATCCCCTCTGTGCTTCTGATGGGAAATCTTATGATAATGCATGTCAAATCAAAGAAGCATCGTGTCAGAAACAGGAGAAAATTGAAGTCATGTCTTTGGGTCGATGTGAAGGTAATGTTCATACCAAAATTCATTTCAAAGAATGTTTTTAGTCTTTGCACAGAAATGAAAAGTGAAGATAACTCCTTATTAGGCAGCTATTTCATATCCGAAAGACAGTTTTGATTTACAATGGATAGTATAGTCTGCAGTAGAATTTGTGTCCATATCTTTTTTCTGTATAATGGGACTGTATTGACACAATGCCATGAACACAGAAGTCAATGTTAAGATAGGAGATGTTCTCCTTGCAAAAAGTAAAAAAGAGAATCAAAAGCATTTTTAACAAAGAATCTAAGAATTTATTAGAAACCTTGAAATAAAAAGCAAATCCCTTCTTTACTGTGTATCAATTCAACAGAGATAGATTTTAAGTGAATTTTTAAAAGCAGTATGTACTAAAATGTTCTATTTTGCTTTTTGTTCAGGAACAATTATAGGAGTGGGTTGTTGCTCCTTTGTTCAACATATCTCAGTTATTATTATGAACTTTCTCCTGACCTAAACACTAGAAGGCTGCCACAATTCTATTTACACTTAAGCTGAAATATGTATTGGAAATCTGTCTTAATATACAGGTTGCTTAAAATTATGGTCATAAAAACACTTTAACTGCAAGGAAAATACTGTTGGAACAGTAAGGTTGACAGTACATTTTTAGAAATGATTAATCTATCTTTTGTTGCTGATTTTTTAACACAGATAACACAACCGTGACCACTAAATCTGAAGATGGACATTATGCAAGAACAGATTATGCAGGTACATAAAATTCCTATTGTAAAATGTGAACCCCTCTATACAAGCGTTGGGCAATCATTGTTTACTATTTAGCTTACATTGAACCATGCAAGAGTTCTGACATGTGATGGTCTTCTCTTGCTTAGTTCAGGCTTTCAACAGGAAAGAGTAAGTTTTTGTTGAAACAAATAAAACTCACTTTTTTTCCTTTTGCCAGAGTTAAAGCAATTGTCAAAAATGTCAGTAAGATATAATTAACTTGTTTTGACAGTGAAAATGCTACAAATGACAAAACATTTATCAAATTAATGGGTATCAATGGAAATTAATGCAATTTTGGCAGTATATTGTAATAAATGCAAATGTTCTTGTTTGAATTTTCATTAAAGTCAACAATAAAAGGTTGCTACTCTCTGAAAAGCTAGAGAAAAAGGATAGCTGCAATATACAGACTGTCTCTGCTTGGAGGCAAGCTAAAAACTGTAATTTATTTTTGAAATAATTCCTTTAATTTATTTAAAAACTAGAATGCATCTTCTAGAAAAAATAGAATGCAAAGTGATAAAGAATATAACTCTCATTCATTAACTATAGAATTTTATGCTGAGTAAAAACTCTATATAATAGAATTTTCCTAGAGTGAGAAATAATTTATGGTTATAGAATTGGAATTTTATCAGATTCTCAAATTTCATAGAAATTTGGGATAAAACATTGAGAGTAATAGTGATATGTAAGGTATTTTATAAATAGAACTTTCCATTTAGCTATAAGAACTTGTGACTGTTTTTGCAGCTAATACTGTATCAAAAAGATTTGCTTATTGTCTCTCAAAATTTTTACTACCATTCATTCTCTTTTCTGAAATTTCATTTTATTTAATATTTCTGTCATGTTTGTATATAGAATAAATCTCTATGAAATTTTATAAATTACTCAAATATCACAGAATTTGGAAATAACAAAATTGTTCTTTTTAATTTTTTCAAATTTCAAAAGCTTAATGTTTTCCAAAATGTTTCATCTTTTAGAAGCCTGAAATTCTCATGAAAAATGATACATGGAAAACCGTTTACTCTACTATTACATATCCATTCCCAAAGCATCCAAGAGAGAAATTCATAAATGTTTCTTGAAAAGTCTCATGGTAAGGAAATTTGGGAAGAGCTGAGATAAACAAATGGATCTTGAATCCAGCACTCCTTGCAGCTCTTATTTTCATTATAAAATTTTTAGAGATATGCATGTTTTATTGACAGCCATCTCTAAATATCCATGAGTTTCCAGTACCCCATTGCCGATACCAAAATCCAAGGATGATCAAGTGCCCTATATAAAAAAGGATAGTATTCCATAAAATCAATTGTGCAAACTCATATGCTTTAAGTCCTCTCTAGATTACAATGTTAAGTTCTATGCAAATAATTTTTATACTGTATTGTTTACGGACTGTTGACAAGAAAAACACTGTACATGTTTAATAGGATGCAATTTTTTCAAATATTTTTGATCTATGAATGCTTGAATCTGTGAATATAGAACCAAGAGATATGGAGGGGCATATTTTTAAACTTTCTGTTGTGGAGGATTTCTAACATATGCAAAATACACACAAATGTAGACTATATAGTATAATGAACACACATGTACTTACCACTTAAAACCAGTAACAAATAACAAACATGTGGAGGCAAATCTCAAAAAATTTGCCTTATTTCATTAACAAATAGTTTAGCATACACCTCAAGATGATCAACCTTTATTTATTTATTTATTTATTATATTCATATGTGCATACAATGTTTGGTCATTTCTCCCCCCTCCCTCCCGCCCCTTCCCTTACCCCCCACTCCCTCCCTTACCTCCCCAACTCCTCGCTACCAGGCAGAAACTATTTTGCCCTTATCTCTAGTTTTGTTGAGGAGAGAGTATATGCAATAATAGGAAGAACCAAAGGTTTTTGCTAGTTGAGATAAGGGTAGCTATACAGGGAGTTGACTCGCATTGCTTTCTTGTACATGTGTGTTACCTTCTAAGTTAATTCTTCTCAAACTAACCTTTTCTCTAGTTCCTGGTCCACTTCTCCTATTGGCCTCAGTTGCTTTAAATTATCTGCTTTAGTTTCTCTGCGTTGAGGGCAACAAATGCTATCTAGTTTTTTGGGTGTTTTACCTATCCTCATACCTTCCTGTGTGTTCTTGCTTTATCATGTGATCAAAGTCCAATCCCCTGTTGTTGTGTTTACCCTTGATCTAATATCCGCATATGAGGGAGACCATATGAGTGAGGCTAACCTCACTCAGAATGATGTTCTCCAGTTCATCCATTTACCTGTGAATGATAACATTTCATTCTTCTTCAAGGCTGCATAAAATTCCATTGTATGTAAATACCACATTTTCTTAATCCATTTGTCAGTAGTGGGGCATCTTGGCTGTTTCCATAACTTGGCTATTGTGAATAGTGCTGCAATAAACATGGGTGTGTAGGTGCCTTTGGAGTAACCTGTGTCACATTCTTTTGGGTATATCCCCAAGAGTGGTATTGCTGGATCATAGGTAGATCAATGTTTAGATTTTTAAGAAGCCTCCAAATTTTTTTTCCAGAGTGGTTGTACTAGTTTACATTTCCACCAGCAGTGTAAGAGGGTTCCTTTTTCCCCACATCCTCGCCAACACCTGTTGTTAGTGGTGTTGCTAATGATGGCTATTCTAACAGGGGTGAGGTGGAATCTTATGTGGTTTTAATTTGCATTTCCTTTATTGCTAGAGATGGTGAGCATTTTTTCATGTGTTTTTTGGCCATTTGAATTTCTTCTTTTGAGAAAGTTCTGTTTAGTTCAGTTGCCCATTTCTTTATTGGTTCATTAGTTTTGGGAGAATTTAGATTTTTGAGTTCCCTATATATTCTGGTTATCAGTCCTTTGTCTGATGTGTAGCTGGCAGATATTTTCTCCCACTCTGTGGGTGGTCTCTTCAGTTTAGAGACCATTTCTTGTTGATCAACCTTTTTTAAAACAAACCATAACACCATAATCACACCTAAAATGACTATGTATATTTCCTTACAGTACACTGCTTTCATCAAGATTATTTGGTGAATGACACATTTTTGATGGAATATTTTGTAGTACCAGCCAAAAGTTCACTTGGAATATGCTGATCCACAGAAATATTGTTAAAAGTAATAAAAGATAATGAAAAAAGCAATATCTAAGACTAATAATACATATTTTAAATTTTAAATACAGTCAAATAGGAATTATATTTTATTATAAACAAGACTTGACAATATTAGATGCTGCTGCTGCTAACTACTGTAGAAATAACTTTATTCCAAATTAATTCATTTGGAAAAATCTTCAAAAATGTAACATTCTATGACTAGCTTCTCTATTGAACCATCCATCATTGGCTTTACAAAAAAAAAAAAAAATCAAACCTTTTCCTGAGAATTTTGTCCCCGAAACAAAAAACTCTACAAGTTGATCAACATCGTGTGCAAATGTATGGGCATTTATAAAATTGTACCAAGAAACATCATAAAAGAGTTTATCAGTCTGTCAATGTCATTCATATAGCATATAACACTTTTACTTTCAAAGAGATTTGGGGATTAAATTCTTATTCCAAATAAGTTCTTCTTTGGTTTGATTTCAAAGAGATAATTTGTGATGTTCAGTGCCTCTGTGACATTGTTTCCTTTCTTATCTCTTTATGAGACATGGAAAGGAAAGATAATATGTTCTTAAATACATGCAAATGAAAAGTATTCAGTCACTCACATGGTCCAGATTGTTCTGGTTTGACATCAAGTTTATCTATTATATCTTTAATAAAAACTTTTAAGATAAAAGTAAAGTTTAAAATTACATACCTAGTGAAATCCAGATAGGAAAGCAGATAATGTCAATTGAAGCTCACAATTCCTAACTAAACATTGATTATGTAAGTTAAAATCACCTCAAATTTACTTTAGATATCTTTATCTTCACTAATAATATTATTAAAATGCAGTGTATACCCCTTTTCAGAAATTACTTAAATAGTTATGATCATCATCATTTCCTAGCTGGCAATAGTATTGTCATTTTCCTTTGTAAAAACTAAAAGGAGCCAAAGGGAGAAGTCAGTATGTTGTTGTCCTCTTAATTTATACTTCACATTCTAAAAACTCTCCTAGGAGTGAGAACAGGAAGTGTATGACACATTCCTTGAGGTTTGCTATGTGCTTACAGCTAATTTAATGTCACAGCTCCTTCCTTTGTTAGACAAACATTCATGGACTCTCCGCCAGAGGAAAGTAATATTACCACACTATTTCCTCCTTATATGTCATTAATACAGTAAGTTTAAAAACCTTTGCCAATCGTCCCTTTTTTTCCTTTAAGCCTACTAAAAAGCTGTTAATACAAGAGCACATTTTCTAATTATAAAGTACCTATCTACTTTAAAGAAAGTCTAAATCTTAAAAGAAATTTATTATATCTCCTATTTAATGCAATGTAAAAGAAAGGACTCCAACAAGGAACAACAGAGGCTAAATTACAAAAAGATTAAATTTTAAATTAACTTGTGCAATAAACTACAATGTGTCTAACTTGCAGAGATGTGAATTTCATGGTCCTCGCAGGCACGTAAATGTAGTTGGCACCGAGAAACCAAAACGTTTGCCAGACCATCCTTGCGAGTATTACATTCTGGCTGTCCTAACTTGGATCTCTACTTTATCCTCTCCCCTTTAATGAGACCCTAGGCATTACAGAGCCTTGAGTCAAGAAGGGCTTTGGATCTCTGAGTTTCCAGGCCTAGCGACAAGATTCCTACTAAATAAGCTAACCAGGCAATTCATGTTATTCTCCCTTTATCACTGAAGACTTGTGATTAGATTCAGGCCTGACTCTTACCTGCAGACATATGCAAAGAACACAAATTTTATAAAACACAAAGCTGGGGATTTATGGAATTTCCATTGTTTCAACTTACTAATATTAAATTTTTTCTGGAAGTTTAAAATAGCAA